ATCAAACCCTCCTGCTGACGATGGGTGCAGTGAGACAAATGATGGTGAGAGATAGAGACCAGTGGCGGACTCGGCCGGTTTGAGGGCATTGCGAACTATATTCCAGCCAAGAAATAGTTTATGTGCTTCGTAGCCGCCTCTAAGAACACGCGGAAACCAGCGGCAGACGAAAATTCGATTTTCCCGTCAGGTTTGCATCAGGTCCTAGCAAAAATGTGATGAGTTTCACCATGAAGAAACGCAACTTTCATGTAGGCACTGCGTCGGCAAAACCAGTTTCATCCTGTAGCAAGTGCAAAGATGCAGTTGCTGCGTTTTTTGCGGCTGCTTCTATTCGCACCCTCCACCCACACATGGTTCACAGTGCGTTGCGGTATTTTAGCACGGTTTCGCGCAAAGTCCTATAGTGCTGGACAATTCTGGCTCTAGCATGTGGCTATGGAGAGACCGTGCCCCCCAAAATAACACATATTATGTTTTTTAAGAGTGGGCGTTTGGTAAGGCAGTTGCTTGTGCAGTTGTTGGCTCAATACATGGCTGCTTGTGGCCTTGGGAGCTTTACGGTGGCTGCCACTCGGACATGCATTTGGTCATGGTGCGCTGTGTGCAACATGCACGAAGTGGGAATCATTTTTCGACATGTTACTGCATTCGCTGCGTGTAACGGCAAGCAAGGATTGATAGACACTCGGCCGAACAAGTGGTTCAGGTCGTACTGGGCCTTGCGGAAAGCAGACCCTTAACCCACGTCAAGTTTTGACATGGTAGCGGAGCGAGGATGGTCATTTCCTATGGAATTGGGTTGAGTTCCGAGAGTTCTTGAGTTGAGGCCGGGACCCAAGCCCCCACAGGCTCCCGCTTCAAGCGCGCGCCCCACTCACCGAGCCACATTTTAATGTTGCAGTTTGCTTGCAATCCCTGCTAGAGGGTATTTGGTCTGGAGAGTGGAAAACTTCTTGGATTACAAGCTTGCCTTGCCTACATGCTGTCCCTTCGAGAACGCGACGGTAGAGGAGAAGGTGACGATCCTCTTGATATTGCTTAATTTAGGAGGCTGCTGGATGTTAGGCGGTGGGAGGGGCAGTATGGATGGGTCAAGAGTTAATTGCATAAGTTTTAGCTACAACACATGCTGCCACCCAGCCTGTCCAGACGGCATCAGCATCTACAGGGGTAGTGGAGGGGGACCAGAGAGCACGGGAATGATCAGAGGGATCTGGTAGGAGATCTTGCAGTGGCGTGATTGGTACTGGTCTCCAACTTTAGGGTTGGAAATAAGATTGTCCATGCACCAATTCAAAGTTTGTTGCACCTTGTGACACCTGATGCCGGTTTAGCAGCCAAGCACTATGACGACCAAAGCCAAAGCGGATGTTGTCCATTGAGCCTCTACCCTGTCCTTTGGGCAATGTTCTCCATCAATGTGGCAACAACTGAGTTTGTGTTTGCGTACACCATACCCAAACGGGCTTCAAAGGAGATCCTCGTTGGAAGTGGGCATGTGCCTTGGCAAAGTGAGATGCAAAGATTCTTCGGTGTTTGGAGATGGGCCCACAGCGATCCTGAACCATTCCATTCGAAGAGTTGATGATTCCTGGCAGAGGTACCTTCAGTGCTACAGTGGGTTCTCTGCCCATTCCGGGGAATTCCAAATGGATTTCGATGGGCGCATTGTGCCATCAAAGGGGCCAGTGACACGTGAAGGACCGACAAGTTTGACTTTCCAGGCGCCCAAACGATCTAGCAGGAGATGATGAAACGCAGGAAGTTGTTGCCGACCCTCGGTCTTATGCAGGGATGCAAATAGGTGCCACAAACTCCTGGAACCTCTCCAGTCAAATGGTTTTCATCGCTGTCTCCTCCTCACCAACTATTGCGTCGTATTGCGTCCATGTGGTAGAAGGTTTCATTCTCCTCTCTTGCATATCCCCACCATCTGGTTGTGCTCTGGGCTTGGACCATCACTCTCACCCGCATTCTTCTCAATGGTCTGCTTGAATTTCCTGATTTTCCTGGTTTCTGGTTCTGGGCTACCCTCAGGTTGTCCAACCTTATGGGAGGTAGTCCTTCGAGTAGATGGTGGTTCAAGCAATGAAAAGGCATTTGGTCCCTAGAGACATTCACAGACAGTGACTGGGCCGGAGCAAAGGGGCATCGGTGATGAACATCTTCAGCAATCCTCCTGGTGAATGGATTTGGTGGGTGGTAGCAGCTGCTCCAAAGAGCCAGAAGTCGGTGAGTCTGAACTCTGTTGAAGTTGAACTCAATTCCTTGGTGAGCAGTGCAGCAGATGGCGTATACCTTCAGCGGTGTCTGGAGTTCCTTGAAGGTGAGGAGATCCATCGCAGTTGTGTTGTGGACAATTCGGCTGCCTTGCATCTATTCGACCTTTGCCGAGAGCACGGACACAGTTGATTCTCAATTGGTGCAACATCTACAATCTACATCAGCAACCACGAGAAGATTGGCCAAGAGGAGCGTGCGAGAAGTGAAGCGGAAGCCGTGAGCAAATCCAAGATCAACAAACTAGCCAAACTCCTGAGCAAAATTCTCTTGCTGGAGGGCCTTGAACGTGTGGCCGGGATGGAGATGAGTTTGGAGGACAAGTGTGAAGAGCCTATGGCCATACAGGTTCATGAACAAGGCACAGGAGAAACCGGAAGTGCAATGTGTTTTTTCTGGTTGGAGTGGTTCCGACGCGCAGGAACCTTGTTGGCCAACGATGTGGGGTTGCACAGCCTGAGGTTAATGACCTCCGAGCTTTACCATAACGAATTCTATGACCAACTTCAACTGAACATAACACTCACCAAATAGACAGGTCCAAATGGGTTGCCTGGTTCTCTGTGTGCCTCGTGTTGATGACCGATGCCTCCAATGTGTGTGCTGCTACAAACGATGGTCTGAACTACAGGAGTTTTGAGGAGAAGCAGGCATCTTGAAGCGTGAGATGACCGAGGTGCAGGAGATGGCGTGATGATTGGCTCAGTAAGTAGCAGCGAACTCGAGGACAAAATCAAGTAGTGAAGGCAAATGGCCATGCAATGCTATGCATAAACAACACATCCAAAAACTCGAAGCAACATATGGCAGCATGGAAAGGAACAATCGAACTGAGAACCCAAGAATCAAGCATTCAATGGAGATCCACTATCACCATCCTTTCCTTTACAGCCCAGAGTTGAAATTTTAAGGGTGGAGTGTTAAGACTACCGCACCCCTGCGCAAGGATGACGCACAAACGCTGAGTACCGCAGGCCTTCAATCTTGGTCAAAAGGTTCTGACAGTTTCCCAGCGATCTGAGGCAGCTCCATTATGGTTTTTCCGCGAAAAAGGAACGCAGAACAAAAAAATCATGCGAAGTGCACGCTTTTGCTGCATGTACGGTGTGTGAGAGAATGCGCCCCAACGGAGGCAGCAGGCACACCAGACAGAAAGACAGCTTCTTAGCAGTGACAAATGGCAGTCTTGTTTGTCGCGGTTGCAGAACGTTCGGCTAAGCACACGCGACTGCTTGTGGTATTGCAGCAAATTTAGCATTTTCATTGGTGTGTAGAAGGGGTTGCCTGCAACCGAAGCAGGGTGATGCGCTTTACAAATGTGCACCAAAAACATCGTGCTACGTGCGCGCAACAGCTTGTGGCCCTGCTGCGCAGACAGCGTGTTTCCGTTGCTGAAAAGGGACTGCGTCCTGCGTCGTGAGCAAACAAACCGTCAAAAGACACGTGCAAAAACTCGTTGCCGGCACCAAAGCCTTCTTAGTAATTACGTATGCGCGGCTGCCTGCGTAGAACACGTTTAGCGGTGCTGCGAAAGATCGTTCCATAGCGGTAGCGGATACACACGGCACACTGAGAGGTTGCAGGCACGTCCCGTTTGGTATATGCATGTCACCTGACGATGTTTTTAGGCGGAATCCAGCACAGCCCTTGACAGTGCCCAACGTTCCAAGGTTGGACGCTTACCAGGTTCCAATGTTCCACGGTGGCACCTGACAGCCCGCAGGGATCCAAGCATCAGAACTACAAAGCCACCTTTCCCTTCACAAAGGCGTGCCTAGCACCTCTTCCGACACTTGCAGCAAGAACTCCAATGACTCCAATAGCTTTCGCCATCTTGGGACGGAAGCGGAATTCCATCCTCGAACAAGGGATTTTGGGTTCTGTGTGGGCTGGGAGTGGTGCGCAGTGTGTCCACAAGTTTTTCCCCCTGCCCATTCCCCAGTTCAACCCCACTTCCTCGCGTTTTTGCTCCCCAGTTCCTGCTCCTCAGTTCCCTGTACATTTCACAAGACGATCAAAGCGTAATGAAAAAACAGGGGCAAGATAAAGGGGACAGCCAAGGGCAGCAGTTCAGCCAAACAACATCAGGCAACATCACAGGAACAAACGCCCAACAAAAGCAACAATGTACTGTAATCAACCGGTGGTCAATGTGACACATTGTGGTGTGGAGATCCCAACGTGGCAATGAGGCAACGGCACTAGGGTGCAGCTCAGCGCAAAAATTGTATGTTCTTGGACCCGTGTTGCTTCATGTTGCTTCAGGATCATGCCTTTTGCAATTTTTCAATGTACGTGTTTTTTTCCCGGATGAGGGCACAAACCCCGCGTTGGTCGCTAGGTTTCCTAGGTTGTCCGATCTGCATCAACTCACCAATCTGCATGGTCACATGCACAGTGACTGACAATTTGGCCAGGTGATCCCGTTTTCTGCGCCTTGGCCAAGCACACGCCTAACCCAACAAAGGGCTTGCAAAATGCCTCTTGCCGTTGAAACAGGTGAAACATGTTGAGACGTCAGGTGCATCTAATATATCCGATTTGACTCGCTTCTTCTTCTTCATATTCACCGTGCAAAGTGGCAGCATTTGGTTGCGGGTTTAAACTCGTTTACCGTGCTTTGTTCTTTGGCTTGCGCTTTAGTGTTCCGGCATGCGTACTTGAGGAACAACGTCGCGCCTAGTGGCTGAACGATTTGGATCACGGACAAGTGAGGCATGTCAACATCAATGTGTCGGCGCAACTTGACGACCTCTATGATTGTCATTTTTTCTTGTGAATTGTAATTGAAATAACTATTGCTGTACAGTATGTAATGTGTGCATGCTGTTGCCCGAATTGCAAGGAATGCAAGTCTTCCAAGTGCTGTGCCTCCTGTCCATCAACCATTCTGATGCCGTGTCGCCGCTTGAAGTGACGGGTGGCATGAAGACTGAAGGGTCAAAAAGCCTTGAGTGCTAACCAACGTACTTATTGACATGTTTCTTGCCCGCAGCGCTGAGGCACGTATCAGGAACTGATAGCAATGCAGTGGAGGCCGCACCTGCTTTGAACGGTGTCGGAGTTAACAAAAGTCTGGTTGATGCATAACGCTTGATTTTTCCAATCCCATTGCTGTGGAAAAGACTGACTTCAGTCAGGACTTTTTTGTAGACAGCGAACTGTCAAACCACGGTGAGTATCATAAAGCGTTGCAACAGATTAGCTTTGGAAAGTCCCTATTGGCTTTGTTGGGGTCATCATGGTTTCGGGTGAGGAGGTGCATGACGGCGCTGGGCGCAAAGGGACTTCATCAGCTTGGTCGAGCAGTGCAAGGATCGCAGCGAAAGCGGGAGATGCACCTCGAAGCACTTGGCACATGAAATTGTCTTTAGGGGCCTCCAACCTAATAGCGTCCTTGCTACTGGTAATACTGGCCTCCAACCCAATAGCGATGGCCTCCACCTGCTAGCTTCTTTAGCAACTACAGTATATTAGACCTCTCTTCCTTTTCTACTAGCTTCTTGCTACCAGTGGTAATGGCCTCCGCCGAAGAGCGTTGGCCTCCAACCTAATACAGGATCTATATTAGACCGTTCTTCCTTTTCCAGTAGCTTCTTGCTACTAGTAGTAATGGCCTCCAACCTAATAGCGATGGCTTCCACCTACTAGCTTCCTGCTACTAGTAGTGATGGTCTCCAACTTAATGGCGATGGCCTCCACGTAGGAGCATTTTTAGCAACTATATTAGACCGTTCTTCCTTTTCCAATAGCTTCTTGCTACTAGTAGTAATGGCCTCCAACCTAATGGCGATAGCCCCTACCCAAGAGCGATGGCCTCCAACCTAATAGAGGATCTATACTAGACCTGCCTTCCTTTTCTAATGGTTTCTTGCTACTAGAAGCAATCGCCTCTAACCCAATAGCGATGGCCTCCACCCTACTAGTAGTAATGGCCTCCAACCTAATGGCGATGGCCTCCACGTAGTAGCTACTTTAGCAACTATTTTAGACCGTTCTTCCTTTTCTAATAGCTTCTTGCTACTAGCAGTAATGGCCTCCAACCTAATGGCGATGGCCTCCACCTAACAGCGATGGCCGCCAACCTTATGGAGGATCTATATTAGACCTTTCTTCCTTTTCCTATAGCTTCTTGCTACTAGTAGTGCTGGCCTCCAACCCAAGCGATGGCCTCCACCTGCTAGCTTCTTTAGCAACTATATTAGACCTTTCTTCACATTCTACTAGCTGCTTGCTACCAGTGGTAATGGCTTCCACCTAAGAGCAAGCGATGGCCTCCAACCTCTTTAGATCTAGAGTGGTTAGCTTCTATCTACTTCTCTATTTGAGCGCGTTTTGTAGCAATGCTTGTGCCATAGCGCCCAGACGCTTTCCGAGGTGGACTGTCAGTGGGACGATTGGGTTGACTGGAGTGTTTGTCAGTTCTCGTGCGGTGGAGGTGGATGGTTTACATTTGTGTTTACGTTGTTGCGTCCTTGCTGTGAGAAATTTCAAAGGACTCTCTTTGGCCGAGTCTTGCTTGCTTAGCCCTGGCTGCTGATTGGAAGGACAATCGGTTAGGACGAGAAAGGTCAAGATCATGGCGCAGGGAAATGGTGCTTCTTGGAGCACACCTACAATCTGTTGATGTTTTTACACATTTTCATTTATTGCGCAGTTCGTTGTTGTCGGGGTGCTTATCTTATTTTCTTACTACTGTTTTTTGCCACAGACTCCGGCATGCTTGTGTGAGGAGCGCACCTGAGGTTGCTTGCGACAACAATGACAAGGAAACACGTGTGTGCAACAAGAACCCGTGTCCACTTGACTGTGCCTCCTGGCGAACACTTGCCGTGCTTGCGACAACGGTAGAAACAACACTTTCTTTGTTCTAAATTTGTTGAATTTTAACAAATCATAATGAATTGTGTTGAGTGTGCGCAGAGTCACCAGGTTTGGGATGAGTGGTCGTCCTGGGGTGCTTGCTCCGTGAGCTGCGGATCCGGGGTGAAGGCTGTTACCCTTGTTTTCAATTGAGCAGTTATGCTGTGCCACTATGCCAAGAGCATAGATCATTGTATAGGTCTCTGATGTGCTTTCATGCCGTTGCCGCCTTATCAGGTGAAGACGCGTGAAAAGAAACAATATCAGCAATTTGGAGGCAAGGGTGAACATGCCGATGGCTTTTAGCCAAAGTTAGAGGGGCACAGATCAAATTATAAATAAATAAATAAATGTCAATGTGCGAATGCTCATTCATGAATTTTACATGTCAGGATTTGCAATGTGTGTTTTCGCCGCATCCGCGGCCATCTTATGTGTTCGACGCCTTTAGGGCCCTTGAGACCGCCAGTGGCTCGACATCTTGGAAAAGCAGTGCGTTGATCATCGATCACCACCTTCGTTTGTTGTTAGCACGTGGACCTCGAGAGCTACGTCGCTTTGATATTGGTAGCGGAGCTCATCACGATCCTCGTTGAATTTGTCAAGGGCACCCTACATCGTTGAACACCTCTTCAAGGACCACCTTGACTTCGAGAGTGAGCTCACCACAAAGATCGTGTTCGGCAGGACAGGGGAACCATGAGTCAGCAGCAAAGAAGAAGACGAGAACAAGATGGACCCCATGCTGACGTTCCTGTTCCACCTTCACCTGTCCGAGAAGCACCTTCACCCACTCGAGCGAACGGATCTTCCAGCCCTACGAATGGTGGCTATGGCAATGGCTTCCGAGGTCTTGACAGTGGCCTCGCAAAAGCTGCTCCTTCTTCGGATGGACTATGTCAGTCAAACTACCGCAGCTATAGAAGAAGACTTGAGTTGTATGCCCTCCAGTGCCATCGCCGTTCGAGTGAAGCTGAGATCGAAGGCGCCCTCCTTGTGGTATCGCTTCTTCGCGATATAGCCTGGGAAGCTGCAGAGCAGTTGGACTTGAATGACATCACCACTTCAACCACACCTTTCGCTCCCATCCTTCGAATGCTTGACACCCTCTACCAGTATGAGGAGCAGGTCGAAACACCTTTCAGGTGTGAAGAGTTCTTTCAGAATTTTCAGCGAAACAAAGGTGAAGAACTTCAAGCCTACTTGGTGCGTCATCGCACCGCCTTGAAAAAGTTGAAAGAAGTGAAGATTGATCTTCCTCCTCTTCTCGCAGGTTGGCACTTGTTGACCAGATCTGGCATTCCTCGATGGACTCACCTGCAGATCAAAGCTTTGTGTCACGGAGAACTTGAATATGAAGCTGTTCACAAAGCTCTTCTACGTGTTTTTGGCGGTGACCACAAGCCAAACCACAAAGATATCGGAGGAAAGCACTTCAAGGACGACCTGTTCTTCGAAGAGGACGTCGACGAAGAGTTCTATGAAGATGGCGAAGATGATGAATGGTGGTGGTCTGAAGATGCTTTCTATGAAGGCGATGAAGAACCTGAGGAATATGAAGTTCCTGAGGAGCTTGAGAATGCCATGGACCAGGTCGATGATGCTTATGTGACGTACCTGGAGTCAAGAAAAAGAATGAAAGAATTGGCATTGTCTCGTGGCTTCTATCCCATCGTCGCTCTTGCGCCCGACTATGGAGGTGGAACACACAAAGGAGGCGGAAAAGGTGATGGCAAAAGCAAAGGAAAAGGAAAGAGCAAAGGAAGCAAAGGAAAAGGCAAAGGAAAAGGCTTTGGCAAGAGATCCAACTTCATGCCACGAAGGCCTATGCAAGGATTGAGACGACCGCCCAACAGCACTTTGTCCAACTCCAATGTCAATGACCTCAAGTCCACCTTGTCCGGCTCCAACAGTGCTCATGGACCACGCTTCAAACGATACAGAGTACAAGCGCAGGGAGTCAAAGAAGTCTCTGATGAAGTGACGATGGTGGAGGATGAATATGATGAGATTCCCAAGGATGAGATCTTCTTCAGTGATCTGGCTCCTGGCTTTGCGATCATTGACTCTGGTGCCACTCGCGCTTTGGTTGGTGAAGAAGCTTGGAAGAAATGGGTGGAAAAGTATGACACGCAGCTCCTTGGAAACATCAAAGTCCACCCGCAACAGCGTGCCTTTCGCTTTGGAGGTGGAGAACTTCTTCAATCCGAACTTGAGATGGAGTTGCAAGTGTTGGTCAAAGGCCAGAAACTGCCTTTGCGAGTTTCGGTTGTTCCTGGACCCACGCCTTTTCTTCTAGCCCGACCGGTTTCTTGAAGAATGGAGCGTGAAACAAGATTTTGCTTCAGGATCTTTGAAGATCGGTGAATCTGAGTGGTTCCAACCTCCTCGTGGAAAGAAAGGACACTACTTGGTTAATCTCCTCGACTACAACAGCCTCCCTGAAAATGAAGACCTGAATCTAGCTGTTGAAGAAACTTTGGAGATCATCATGAGTGTCTTTGAAATTGAACCGCAAACCAACTTGGACATCCATGAAGAGTGTGAGACAATCTTCCTGGAGACTGGTGATGACGACATTGGTGAAATCACTTCAAAAGTGCTGAACAAACTTCACGAACAACGAAAGTTGATTTTCTTTGAGGTCTATGTGGATCAAGGAGCACTTTCCTCACACCTCGCCAAGATCTATCCCGACATTGAGGTCTCTACCTTTGGATTGCCAGAATGGGACTTCAATCAAAAGCATGTTCGAGAACAGTTCATCGATCTACTTCGACGACAGAAGCCGCACTTTGTCTGGTGTGCACCGCCTTGCACTCGCTGGTCCAATATTCAGCGATTGAACATGCTGAAGCAAGATCTACGAGAGAAAATCCTCCGATTGCAGAAAGAAGAAGAAAAGACACATCTCACCTTGTGCAAGGACACCATGGATGTGATGGAGGATGAAGTTGATGGTGGCATGGTTCTGGAGCACCCTCACTTGGCTATGTCATGGAACACTGAAACCATGAACATCATGCAAGGCATGGATGCCATCTGCAATCGATGCCGGACAGGTCTGAAGTCCTATGATCGTGAAGGTCATTGCCTCGGAAAAGTGAAGAAACCAACGAGACTGAGAACCAACAGCCCTGAGGTCTTTGAAGCTCTTGATCTTCCTTGCCTCTGTCTTCCTGGAACTCATGCCCCTATGGAAGGCAAATCGAAAGAGCTCAAGAGCATGCAGAACTATGAGGAATTGTTTGTGAAAAAGGCAGCCAGTGCAATCTACACTGACATGGAGAATCGCTGGCGACGCCGTGAGATCTGGCGCATCTTCGTGACCGAGGAGCTCATGGAAGAAGAAATGGAGAGAAAGAAAAGAAAAGTGAATGAAGCTGAACTGCAGTTGGCCAAGACTCACAGCAAGCAAGCAGTCAACATCGTGGCAAAACTTCACAAGCAACTTGGACACCCAGGACGCGAGAAGTTGACACAATCTCTTCGAGACGCTGGTTTTGAAGATGAAATCGCCCAATGTGCCCGTGAATACAAATGCGATGTTTGTGCCGCTCACAGCATGAAGAAGCTGGAGAAACCTTCCTCCTTGCCTCAAGCAAGCCACTTCAACCAGATTTTGGAAGCCGACACCTTTCACATCAAGTGGAATGATGAAAAGAGACGTGTGCTTGCAGTCTTGGATGTGTACTCTCGCTTTGAGATCAATGCTGTGATCGCTAGAGAAACTGAAGAAGAAGAAATCCAAGTTTTGCAAGAACGATGGCTCAACATCTTTGGCCCTCCGGAAGTTTTTCGAACTGACTCTTCTGGTGCACACATGAGCCAGAAGTACTTGGACTTCTTCGATCAGCATGGTATCCGTTTGGTCCTGGTACCCAAAGAAGCTCACAACCGCATGGGATCAGTTGAACGACTTCATGCTGTACGCCGTCTTCAGTTGCTCAAAATGCAAAAGGAAGAACCCAACATTTTGTTGGAAACTGCAGTGCGTGTCGCTTGTTACCAAAGAAACCGTCTTCGTTCAGTACATGGAAGCTCACCTTATCAGATCGTTTTCGGACACAACCCACATGATGGAGGCCTCGCTGATGAACCATGCAAGTTGAGGCCTGATGAAAAGGGAGCTCATGTCGAAGACCAAGCCTTGCGACGCCTTGCTGCCCAAGCTTTCCATGCGGCAAACACCAGCACACTGCTCAAGCGCGCTCTCAATGCCAAAGTTCGAGCTGAGCACCCAGAGATCTATATCGGAGACCATGTGTTCTACTGGAGACCTTCACCTGCCAAACTTGACGTTGAACGATGGCATGGTCCCGCACTTGTGTGCGCAATCGAGCCTCGAGTTTTGGATGATGGTTCAACTCGTGCATCTGTTTTCTGGGTGGCGCATGGAAGCTCTTTGGTGCGTGTTGCCCCTGAGCATATTCGTGCTGAAGTACCTCGTGAGAGAGCAGAACGACTGAAGACTCAACCTGACTCAGCTCACACTTCCTGTCTTCGAGATCGAGTTCGTGCTGCTCTGGCCCCTGTGCAGGGCCCTGTTCGTTTTTTAGATTTGGCTGGGGATCCCCCTGCTGCTCACGCATCGGGAACTTCTGTGTCCACTTTTTCGCCTACTCCTTTGCAGTCTTTGAACCAAAACGTGCAGGACATCCGGGAGTATGACATGGACACTACGAACACAAGCACAACTCCAGCAAACCAAGCACAGCAACAACAACAGGAGTTGAGCACGACAGAACAACAAGCAGACGAGATAACAGAGACAGCAACAGGCAAGCAGGAAGAAAAGCAAGCACATGAGAGCAACAGACAACATACAGCGGCAGCAGCAGAAGCAACAGCAGAGAGACGTGAGAGATCTCGCAGTCCTCCTCCAAAGGATGAACAGCATCAACGATTTGAGCAAGTGAGTCAAGCAAGTGCACTGAACTCCTACAACCAGGCACGGCAACTTGATGGACTACAACCAGTGTCACCTGAGAATCCACAATTCCTGCAGCACTACAGCAACATGACTGGTGTAGATCAACCTGATGATGCACTTGCCACTGAAACATTCAGTGAGAAATACTTATCACCTGAGGAGAAGCTGCAATTCGACGAGGCCAAGGACACTGCAC